GGGGTACTTTGTGTTTTACATGATTATAACCAGATTTGAACTGTTTATTGGTGAGTCTGGCATGTGGTTGGCCCAACCACTGCACCATGGACCTCTGAACTGTTTATTAAATCATGACAGATGACAGCTGATAAAAATGGACATTAAGATTATCTTGCAGTGGTTTGCAAGGAGCATTCTTAATTTTAATGAAAAGCTTCCTTGCAGCTTTTAGAAAATATCTATTTGCATATTGTGTCCTGAATCAAATCCGGTTCAAGATAACATATTGATCTGTGCTTCTGTAAATAAATTTGCATTTGTCATTTGGAATTTAGTATGTTTATAACCTTCACAGGCTATAAGTGGATTCTGGTATAAGATCTGGAATCTTATCTTTTTTATTTTATTTCACATTGGTAGACTAGTGTTGAGTGTTTATAGACATTTTTGACTATTTTAAGGGCTTTACAAAAGACTATAATAGTTTTGCCACTGATACAGTGATAAGAAAGGATGTCTAATTTGGAGAAGATTTGGATAGTAATTATGTTTTACTCTTACATAAAAATTAACACAAGCTTATGAATTACATATATTTAAATTATTCTTAAATTTGACTTTTTGAAGTTTCCCATGCAATGCAATTTTCAGTTCTGTCTTTCTGACAGACTCGGTGATTAACAGCGCATGTGACAGGAGGTACTGTTTCAAAGCATTTAATTTCAGTGTGGCAGGAGAGAATAGTATTACGACAACACGAATTGCACACACATAATTGTCTCTCAAAGAACCATCCTGAAGAAGGAGAAGCCACTGTTTAGAAAAGAGCACCTGGGAACGTCTATTTTTGTAGAGCAAGTCCTGCTGCATGGGCAGCCTGCTCTGTGGCCACCACACCAAGTTCTGTGGACGTGTGCACCTGAGTCACACCTGGGAGCTCAGGAGATGTGACTGCCCCAGTGTCGAGTCACTAGACCCACTTACACGCACGCGCACACACACACGCACACGCACACGCGCGCACACACTGCACACAGGTTCATCATCGTTTGTCAGGGTCCACAGTCCATATAGTCAAAGCTGTGGTTTTTCCCGTGGTCATGTATGAATGTGAGAGTTGGACCATAAAGAAAGCTGAGCGCCGAAGAATTGATGCATTTGAACTGTGGTGTTGGAGAAGACTCTTGAGAGTCCCTTGGACTGCAAGGAGATCCAACCAGTCCATCCTAAAGGAGATCAGTCCTGGGTGTTCATTGGAAGGACTGATGCTGAAGCTGAACCTCCAATACTTTGGCCACCCCATGCGAAGAGTTGACTCATTGGAAAAGACCCTGATGCTGGGAGGGATTGGGGGCAGGAGGAGAAGGGGACGACAGAGGATGAGATGGCTTGATGGCATCACCGACTCAATGGACATGAGTTTGAGTAAACTCCGGGAGTTGGTGATGGACAGGGAAGCCTGGCATGCTGCGACTCATGGGGTCACAAAGAGTCGGACACGACTGACTGAACTGAACTGAACTACTGTACTTCTAACTACCACAAAGTTTCTAAACTGGAACAGTGTCTCCAAAAGAGAGAAGCTGATTTTGTTGACACTGTATTAGCTCACATTACCAGCACTTCAAATCAGAAAGTGTAATGACGTTAACTGGGAAAATAAATGCCTTTCTTATACGTAACACACGTTAGGTTTCCTTCTTTGGTTCTGATTTTACAAACAAACAGGCTGAAGTTTTGTTCACAGAGCAAACAGCCCGTTTGGTGGAGGAGGTCAGTTAAAAGCTTCTGAGTCAGAGCAGGTGGGTCAGGCTGTCCCCCTGGGTTCTGGGTCTTGGCCCAGGTCCCCAATGGCTGACGAGGAAGACCTCTGAGGGTCCAGGAGGGACGTACCTACACAAGGACCCGATTTAATCAAGCGCCTCCTCCTTCCAGGGTCAAGGGTCAAGACAGGCCCCCCGTGGGAAGTGGGCAGTGGCCCTGGGTTGATCTTTCAGGGAGGAGACTGTGTCGGGGCGCGTGCATCCTGTCCTCTGCCTGGCACATGGGGCAGCTGGGGCGCTCATTTAGATCAGCGCGGGATGTGGGTGTGCGTGGGGGCCATGTCGCCACCCTGGGAGGACTGTGTCCCCATCCTGGGAGGACCAGACACCTCCTCCCTCCTGGCCTCCGCTTCCACCCTGGGATCCAGCCTGCCCGCCGGAGTCTGGGGTCCGCAAGGTGCATCTCATCCAGAGGGTGTAAGTGCACCTGCAGAGGCCCCAGGGCAAGTGAGAAGTCGAGGTTTCCTCCAGGAAGAGAGGAAGCTGGAGCAGGAGGAGGAGCCCGCAGGAGGCCGAGGAGCTGCGGGGTCCAGCGGGGCAGCAGTGGCGTCCAGCGGGGCAGTGGGGGCATCCAGCAGGGCAGCGGGGGCGTCCAGCGGGGCAGCGGGGGCGTCCAGTGGGGCAGGGGCATCCAGCGGGGCAGCGCGGGCGTCCAGTGGGACAGCGGGGCAGCGGGGGCGTCCAGCGGGACAGCGGGGCAGCGGGGGCGTCCAGCGGGGCAGTGGTGGTGTCCAGCAGGGCAGCGGGGCAGCGGGGGCGTCCAGCAGGGTGGCGGGGGTGTCCAGCGGGGCAGCGGGACAGCGGGGCAGCGGGGGCGTCCAGCAGGACAGCGGGGGCGTCCAGCGGGACAGCGGGGCAGCGGGGGCGTCCAGCGGGGCAGCGCGGGCGTCCAGCGGGACAGCGGGGCAGCGGGGGCGTCCAGCGGGGCAGCGGGGGCATCCAGCCTGGCCGCTGCCACCAGGGCCTGAGCTCCGACCTCCGCTCTGAGCTCACTCGTGTCTCTCTACATCTGTGCCGCCTCCAGTGATGACCTGAGTCCTTTTCCTGACCTCGGGTGCCTGGCCTGTTGCTCAGGGGGGGTGTTGGGCTGGTCCATCTTGTCTGTCTGCTTGGACTCAGGAAGGCGACGTGAAGTTTGGAGCCTGGATGGTCGCTTGGCCAGAGGGTGTCCTCCCTGTGGCCCCCCTCCAGTGCTGGGTGGACCGGTCTTGCTCCTGGAATGTTCTCCATTTAAACTAGGAGAGGTGCTTAAAATCCAGTGACTTGCCCGGGCCTGTGGGGTGTGCATCTGGATGATGGTGAATCTATTTTTAAAGCAACTCTCTGCAGTCAGAATGTGCAAAGAGATGCTGAGTCTTTGTTTTGGAACATGGAGATTAAAAGGCTTTAATTTTTTCTTAAACACAATGTTTTGTTAAAGTGTAAAATATGAATTTATGCCTCAGATAGGTAGAAAGTTATCATGAGAATGTCCATAGCATGGGTCACGTCCCTGATCTGATGGCCACGTGAAGGTTTGGTCCATGGTATGTGCTCTCAGGCTGACTGATCTGACCGCAGTGACCATCCCTCTTGCTGGACAACTCAGTGACCCATGGTGTCCAGGAAGCTTGGGTGACGAAAATGCTGTGGGTCCCGTGGACCCAGTGGTTCCCCAAGACCCCTCATCACTGTGCCCACCCAGCTCCAGGTGTGGCCACGTCTCTGCTCCACGACCGCAGCTTCTTGACTCGACCCAACAAGTGCTCGGGAGCTGGTGCCTGAGCTGGGAGATGGTGCAGCGTAGCTGCGGATGTGGGAAGGGTAGGGTGTGGTTTGCACTGGGGACAGCTCTTGAGGGCAGGGGTCTGCAGACTCTTCCAGCGAAGGACCCGATAGTGCTTCCCGCTGCGTGGCCCCCGAGGCCGGGACTCTGTCCAGCTCTTGCGGGGGCGAGTAGCTGCCTCGTGTGGAGAGTGCAGAACTGGCATCGTGTGTGCTAACGAAAGTACTCACCAGGAAAGCGTGCCTTCATTTAGCTCCTTGTGCAGCGAGATGAGTCGCCAGAGAAAGTATTAACCATGAGATCTCGCTTACACGTGTGATCTAAAAAATAAAAAATAAAACCGAAACCACACTCACAGAGAACAGGCCGGTGCCAGAGTCAGGGTGAGGGTAGAGGGGACGTGGTGAGTTGGTTTTATATTTATATTTAAATAAATAGAATTAAACAGAGAACTGATGGATCCTCTCAAAGGTACGAAACGGGATTGCCAGAAGAAGGATGAAGAGACAGTGAAACTTTGAAAATGTTGCTGTGGTCGGTGTCTACCCAGAAGTGAACGAGGACAGCCTGGTGGCGAGTCCGTGCTATTCCAAGCAGACATATCTCAGACCCCGCCAGGGGGGTGACCCCACTCTGCCGAGGCTGGCCCCCTTTTCTCCTTCACCTCCCCCTCCTTTGGCATTTTAAAAGTCTCAGATCAGTGGTCCTAAGAGTCTTGGAGCCCCTGCTGACGCTCACTGTCTGAGCGGGGACCTGCGGCCTCGGGCGTGTCCTCCCTGGTGTCTAAGGACCGACGGGTCGGTGGTCACGGTCTGCGCTCCGTTTCATCAGAGTTTCTACCTTATCTTTAGAGCCTTGTTACCATCTTTACAGAAGTATCCAGTGCCTCAGGCTGGATCCACTGGTCAAAATCTTTGCAAAGGGCCTATTACCATTGTACTGTAAGGATATTTGTGCATTACTTATTTCTGTTAGGAATTTTAAGCAAGATTGCTCCTTCTCATTATAACTACATTCTCAGAGTGAATGTGTAAGTTTCCACTACCAGACTGGAAAAAAGAAAGAAAGAAACCAAGAGCAGATAGATGACTGTGGCAAACACGCTCTTGTGGCCCGGCTGGTTCTTCAGATGAAGTAGACGGTGGCTTCTCCAAGCCTCTCCCAGAACGCCTTCCCGGGGAGGACGCCAGGGGCTGGCCTGCCCTTGACCTCAGAGCTTGGAGCAGCCCCGTCCTTCCTCAAGCCAGCAACGCCCGTCGGGCAGTCTCGTGCTCACGCTTAGTAGCATCCAAGATAGGCATCTGTGCCATTTTCTTTTGTAATATTGTGAGTTAAAGTGTAAAGAAAGTTAGTGCCGTAAAGACGGGTCTTACCGATTACACAGGAGAATCTGTCTTCTGAGAGACTTAGTTATTAAGTATCTCAACCGTATGATTGTTTTGACACTGGTCGCCCACGTTCACCTGAGCCCTGCTGCATTCGGTAACGACAGCGAGCAATATCTACGGTGAGTGTGTGTGCCTGATTTATTGTCAGAGTCAAACGTGAAGGCCTCTCCACCGAAATCCCGGGCACATTGGGAACATTTAGACTCGTGGGGCTTATTCTATTTCCACTAACTGTCGGCTCTTTCCAAATGAGCCCACATTTTGTTTCCGCCTTTTTCTAGGCTGAAATCCTTATTCAGACTATTCCCCTTGACAGTCAGTTCCTCTTTGCAAACCTGTAAGTTTCTGTGGAGCATGTGGACCCTGGTGTAGACCCCCTGCTGGAAGCAACAATACCTCTTAGTGCTGATAAGGATCTTCACTCTCCCTTTTGGAGTCAGATAAATCCCCACTTGTAATATATAAAGACTTGTCTCAATAACTTCAGCAACAGTGTCTGAGTGACTGACAGCTGAATCTGGTAGTAATAAATGGTAATTCATTAATTTTTTGTGATTGTTTTAATGTCTTTTATGACTTTTAAATGCGTGTACACGTCTCTTAAGATTTTTCTCACAATTGGATTTCATTTTAAAATGCAATTTAAGGAAGTAGATGTCTATTTTAAATAACACTGAAATGCTTTTTCTGTGTCAAATCCAAGTTATTCAAATGTTATTCCATTTTGTTTAGTCTTTTGATCTTTGGGGCTCATTATAGCAGTCTATTTTTACAGAAATAGAAATCATTCAACAGCATAAGAGTCCTACCTTTTTTCCCTTCGAGAAATGCATCTTAAGTAGGTCATTATTGACAGATCTCGCTTGTTGCCTTTGATGTCTACAAAGTCATGGGGATGGATGGTGGGGTGAATCTGACGTCCGAGTGGCAGTTACAAGGTCAGTGTCGCTGATTAAAGTCTGACTCAAATTTTAAAGCAGACGATTAAAGTGCATTATCTGACGTTTTCCTTGGATCATGGAAACATACAAGCCCTGCCTCTCACCGCCATGGGCAGCCGGCTGCGTCTCTGGGCACCTTCCTCCCTGTGGGAGGACGGGTGTGTGTTCAGACCTCCCGTGTCCGTGTGTGGAGAGCTGGCCAGACGCTGCCTGCCCACTGCTGAGCCCCGTCGGGCTGTCCTGGGTGGGGGCTCTGGGCTGGATGGATGGGGGCAGGCGGTCAGTCAGGAGGAGCTGAGGTCAGTGGCCCTGGCTCCAGCCCAGACCTGCCCACGGGCCCCATGCAGCCCCAAACCCACGGTCGCCCCCTCCCTGCCTTTCGCCTCCAGCCCCCAGGAAGGCTGATCCTTTCTCCTGCTTCCATCTGGGTCGTCCTCAAAGCTCCCTGCCCTGAGAGTGTCCTAGGGAGTTTCCGGACCCCGCTCCTCTTGCCTGTGACGTGGGGGACCCCCAGGCAGTGGTCCCCAAAGCTTGGCCAGGATGCCCTCAGGGACCCACACCCTCTCCTGAGATCCTGGCCTCAGCCTTTCTCCTCCTTCTTCCCTTCCTCCCACAGCTTGGCCCCAGCCCCTCCAGCACCAGCTTCTCCCTGCAGCTCCTGCATCCCAGGGCCCTGAGAAGTCCTGGGGCTCCGTGTCGAGTTTCTCTCCACCGTTGCCAGCCTCAGGGTGGATCCACTCATCCCAGGGATGAGTGATCTGTTGATGCCAGGGAAACCTTGTGTCCTCAAACACGAAGTCCCCTTCTTTGTGTTCCAAATTAAAATAATTTGGAGCTTTCCTTTGAAATTGGCATCATACCTGATGGCAGGTGTCAGTTCGCAAGCAGTGACGGCAGCCGTCATTTCCCAGGAGGTGGGACTTGTGACAGCATAGGCATCCCGCCCTGAGACTCTGCTGCTGCTGACGCCTCCGACGTGGGCAGAGCTCGGCCTCGGAGGTGGGCACGGCTCGGCCTCCAAAGTGTGCCTGTGGACAGAGCTCGGCTGCCCACAAACGCAGTGGTTTCCGACTTTGCTCTGCGTTCATTTTTCTTTTTCTGTCAGCTTTCAGTTAACGAGGTGGATGGATTTTCAGCTGATGCCGATGTTCATCTGAAGTCAGAGGTTTACAGAAAGTGGGTGGGCGCGTGTTGTCAGGAGCACCGGGAGGTGTGGTGAGCTGCCCGCAGGGGCCCCACAAACCTGCCCTCTCCCCAGGCCCCGTCCCTCTGCCCAGGGTCATTTCTGTCACCCTCAGCCGGTCCGTGGACGGAGAGCGTTCAGCCAGGGTGCATGCGGTGGTTTCTCCCACGTAGTTTTGCTTTTTGTACCTTGTTAGGAAAGACTTCCTGAGCCAAGAATGTATTTATTAAAATTTTCAATTCATCTTTAACACAGCTGGAATAAAGTAAGGGTCCGATTCACAGTCTCCTCTTGGGGCTCACTGTTGTCCTGATGGTGTTTATTCTTGTTCCTCACCCGCTGGCACCCGCCTCCATGCTCAGAGGGGCTCTTCATGGGCGCTCCTGTGTTCTTGTGGTCAGTTTTTCAAACCCTGTTATCATTTTCCCCCACAATTTCCACTATTATAAATGGACAGTGTCATACTCCTTCAATTATAACATGCAATGAATATCAACATACATTTTATGTATCACTGTGAAGAGTAAGGCTGTCCATGAAATATTGAAAGAACATCTTTGTAATACACTCCTTGGTTTCACAGATGCTAAATTATGGACAAAGCCCATGTTAGAACCAGTGGCAAACCTCCCACCACTTCTTTTCTAGCAGCGCTTCAGCTCCTCTTGGCCTTGTTCTCCCTTTAATCGGGGTCCTTCTGTCAAGGTCTAGACTGATTCATATTCTGGGTGGAATACAGTGACTGCGTAGACCAATTTGGGGACAGTTTCCCATCCACAGGCATTTCTCTATTTAATTAGCATTTCTTTAGTATTTTTCAATGAAGGATTACATTTTTTCCTTTTAAGTATTCATGCTGTTTTGCATATTCTTGAATAACTAATGGTTTGCGGGGAGAAAGACATAGTCTCAATTTTTTCTCCTGGTTCTATTGTATAAATGCATGAGTCATACTGATAGATTCCACTTTGATCCATCCATATTTCTAGATGTTCATAATTTCTCAGATATCTGTACATTTCTTTGGTCTTATTTATGGACATTATTATCATCTGTGAATATTGTTAATGTAGTAAATTGTTTATGCCTTTAAGAGTATTTTTCCCTACCTCATGGTGGGCAAAGGTGAACTGAGAAATTCTGAATCACTGCAGGGGGGTTGAGAATTCTATCATCTCGCCTTCTAGAGTGACATTTACTGGAGAGGTTGTAACCAGCCGCTCTGTTATAGATTCACAAAATTAGTGAGCATCTCTCTCAGCCTCCAAGAGGAAGTTTTCCATATTCAACACAGAATCACTGATGCTCTGAGTCTCATTTAGAGGTTTCCCAGATGGTCGGGAAAGATACCTCTTAATAAAAGGCTTTGTCATGAATGACTGGTCAGGTGTTTTTGAGGCTTGTACATAATCCTACAGGAGTCTCCGTGCTCTGAGCTGTGGTGTGGTGGCTCCCAAGAGTCCCGTCCACCCGCCCCGTGTGGTCCAGTCCTGCCTCCATCCTGGGCTGGGCTGTGTGTCCACGGCGGTGGGCAGGAGTGAGGAAGCTCAGTTATAGGAAAGACAGCTCCTGACTTTTGGAGCTCTTTGTAAGCTCTGTGCGTGAGTCTTTATCAAACATGTGCTACCCAAACCTCTCACTCTGTGGGCTCCATTCTTCTCTCCTAATAACCTCTTTTACTGAACAGAATCTCCCAATTCTAATACTGAATACTTTATCAATTCCTAATTTATACTTAGGGCTTTTTTGCAAGCTGTTGACCTTTACTCCAGGTAAACCTTACTCCAAGTTATTGAAGATATTTTCATTCTCTTATAAACATTTCATTCTTTGCCTTCATTTAGAGTTTGCATCCAGCAGTGTTTGATTTTTTGTACACCATGCAGCGGGCTTCACTTTTCTGTTGCTGCAAAGACTGCTCTTTCCAGACCCCATGCAGGGCCCCGTTCACGGCCTGAGGGGAGTGTGTGCCAGTCCGTCTCGGTTCTTGGCTCTCTGCTCCTTTGCCCTGCTCTCCTTGAGCTCACGCCCCATTTCAGCTGCTACAACCCTTGAATGGTTCTTGATGTCAGTCTGTGTACATGTGAAGCTGTGTTTCTCTTTTCCAAGATTACCTTTACACTTGAGCCTTGTGTTTCTATCTAAACTTGAGAACCGCTTTGTCAATTTCTAAAAATATGCTGAGGTCCTGGTTTTCTGTTGTTTTGAATCTCAGATCACTCTGGGGAGCACTGACACCTTGGCCATGTAAGTTCATCCGCCTCACGAGCACGATCTGTTCTGTGACATGAGTCCCCTCATACGCTCCTCCTGTGTTAGTTGCTCAGTCGTGTCCGACTCTTGCGACCCCGTGAACTGTAGCCCCCCAGGCTCCTCTGCTCATGGGATTCAGCAAGACACCAGAGTGGTCGCCATCCCCTCCAGGGGGTCTTCCTGACCCAGGCACTGAACCCAGGTCTCCTGCGTTGCAGGCAGCTTCTTTACCGACTCAGCCACCAGGGGAGTCTCTTAATAACATTACTGAGCATTTCAGTGTAGAGGCCTGACGTGTCTTTTCTTAGGTTTATTTCTAGATGTTGATGACTTTCTAATGCTGCTGCACGTTGCATCTTTTTACGACTTCCAGCTGTCAGGCTGGTTGCTCCTGTGCTGACGTGCACTTTCAGAATATTGGCAGAGTAGAGCACTGACCGTTCGTCAATGCCGTGAGCTGTCGCTTATCTTTTTCCCACTTTAGGTTTGTCTCCGCACTCTGGAGCGTCAGTGGGAAAGGCTGGCTTGGTTTCTCTTTCCCACCTTGGGGCCTCGTCTGTCTGTAAAGGCAGGTGTGTCCCCCAGGGCGGGAGCTGCCGGGCCCAGCTGTGAGGGTGAGCAGCCGCAGGAGGAAGTTTTCCATAATCAGCACAGAGAATCACAGATGCTGAGTCCCGTTTGGAGGTTTCCCGGAAGGTGGGGAAAGGTACCTTTTATTAGAAAGCTTCGTTGTGAATGACGTTTGTCAGGTGTCTTTTGAGGCTTGTTTGTGATCCTACAAAAGTCTCCGTGCTCTGAGCTGTGGTGTGGGGGCTCCCAGGAGCCCCGTCCACCGGCCCCATGTGGTCCTGTCCCACGTCCATCCCGGGCTGGGCTGTGTGTCCACGGCGCTGGGCAGGAGTGACGATGCTCGGTTACAGAACAAGCAGCTCCGTTTTGGGGCACGCTCTTCCTGTCTCGGGTCACCCTTTCGCGGTGGGGGGGCAGGGGGGAACGACGCCCGCTGTGAGCGGCCAGTGGGAGGAGCCCGGGCCCAGCCCAGGGTCGGCTGCTGGCAGCGCAGGAGCAGCTGGGGCTGATCTGTCACCCGGAGCCCACTCCCACCCGACTGCCGCCCCCACGACTGACCATGGCTGCAGGACACCCACAGAGAAGCGCCAGGCAGGCCCCTCCAGATCCCAGGAGCCCTGAGGTTTGGGGTGTCTCACTAGGCCCTGGTGGGTGACTGTTACACGGAGTAAGTGACACTGACATTCAGGTGAAAAGCTACATTCCCCTCCTTGTTCATTGTTCAAGACGTATTTTCATTTTTATATTTTTCTGCATCTGGTTTGGTAACATTTTCTTTAGGATGTTTGCATTTATGTTCAAGAAGATGATAGATAAGTTAATTTACTTTGTTATAACCTCCTTGCTGGGTTTTTGTGTCCAGCTTGGCTTGAGTTTATACAAGTTAAATGGTGTTCCTTTTTAGTTTTTCTCAAAGACTTTGTGAATTTTTTTTCTTGAAATATGTGGAATTCACTGATGAAGCTGGTATAGCCCTAGAGTTTACTTTGTAAAAGAATTTTAATAGTGGATTCAGCTTTTAAAACAAATGTAATAATATTTGCATAAAAACAGTGACGAATAGGAATAACCAGGTGGGTGTGGCTGTCCCAATAAAACTTTATTCACAGAAACAGACCCTTGGCTACCCTGAGATTAGATTGATTTTCAACAGCTTTTTAAAAATAAAAATGCATTGAAAGATGTAACTATTCTTTGAAACACCATTTCAAAGAGCTGTAACTTCATTGAAAATACATTCTTATTTCCACTGTGATTTTTTAAAATTTTTTATGGCTTCTTATTTATTGATTTATTTAAATTGGAGGCTAATTCCTTTACAGTATTGTGGTGGTTTTTGCCATACACTGACATGAACCAGCCACGGGTGTACATGTGTCCCCCATCCTGACCCCCCTCCCTCTCCCCTCCCATCCCATCCCTCTGGGCTGTCCCAGTGCACCAGCTTCGAGTGCCCTGTTTCACGTATCAAACCTGGACTGGCGATCTATTTCACATATGGCAATATGCATGTTTCAATGCTATTCTCTCAAATCATCCCACCCTCGCCTTCTCCCACTGAGTCCAAACTCTGTTCTTTACATCTGTCTCTTTTGCTGTCTCACATATAGGGTCATCATTACCATCTTTCTAAATTTCATATATATGCGTTAATGTACTGTATTGGTATTTTTCTTTCTGCCTTACTTTACTCTGTATAATAGGCTCCGATTTCATCCACCTCAAAAGAACTGATTCAAATGCATTCTTTCTAAAAGCTGAGTAATATTTCATGGTGTATATGTACCACAGCTTCCTCATCCATTCGTCTGCTGATGGGCATCTGGGTTGCTTCCGTATCCTGGCTATTATAAACAGTGCTGCGATGAACATTGGGGTACATGTGTCTCTTTCAATTCTGGTTTCCTTGGTGTGTATGCCCAGCAGTGGGATTGCTGGGTCATATGGCAGTTCTATTTCCAGTTTTTTAAGGAATCTCCACACTGTTCTCCATAGCGGCTGTACTAGTTTGCATTCCCACCAACAGTGTAAAAGGATTCCCTTTTCTCCACACCCTCTCCAGCATTTATTGTTTGTAGACTTTTGAATAGCAGCCATTTTGACCAGCGTGAGATGGTACCTCATTGTGGTTTTGATTTGCATTTCTCTGATAATGAGTGATGTAGAGCATCTTTTCTTGTGTTTGTTAGCCATCTGTACATCTTCTTTGGAGAAATGTCTGTTTAGTTCTTTGGCCAATTTTTTGATTGCGTTATTTTTCTGGTATTCATAAACTGCTTGTATATCTTGAGATTAATTCTTTGTCAGTTGCTTCATTTGCTATTATCTTCTTCCATTCTGAAGGCTGTCTTTTCACCTTGCTTATAGTTTCCTTAGTGCAAAAGTTTTTAAGTTTAAGTAGGTCCCATTTGTTTATTTTTGCTTTTATTTCCATTACTCAGGGAGGTGGGTCATAAAGGCTCTTGCTGTGGTTTATGTCAGAGAGTGTGGTTTTTACACCTCTGATCTGTGGTGGTTTAGACGTTTGTTAATCAATGTTGAGAAGGAGTTTTGGTGCTCTCTTTTGCTGGTCACTTTCCACTGTGGAGAATGTGAGGACATGGTCCTTCTCACTGAGTCACAATCGGTGATTCTGACCCTGTGAAAAAATTTCATGTTGGAGTATTTTTTTAAATTTTTTAGTCGCTAAGGCATGTCTGACTCATTTGCGACCCCATGAACCGTAGCCCACCTGGCTGCTCTGTCCATGGGATTTTCCAGGCATGAGTACCAGAGTGGGTTGCCATTTCCTTCTCCAGGGCAGCTTCCTGACCCAGGGACGGAGCCCACGCCTCCTGGCCTGGCAGGCAGAGTCTTTACCGCTGAGCCACCTGGGCAGTCCCGAGTTGGAGAATAGTTGACTCAGTGTTGTGTGTGTTTTAGGGAAAGGGCAAAGTGATTCAGTTTCCCTGTCTAGATAGCTCCAAGGTAATAGGTTATAGTTCCCCGAACAGTAGGTCTTCATTGGTTATCTATTGTATATATAGTAATGTTAGTGATATATAGTGTTGTTTTGATCCTAGACATGTATTAAATATTCTGTTTTTATCTGCAGTGAAGATTTTTTAGCAGGAATCTCAATTCCACTAAGTTATTATAAGAAGAAAATCATAGCGTGTTACTGTTTCTTTGTTCTTAATATTCCGTTCCTTCAGTGGGAAAAGCTTTGTGTTGACCACGGATCAGTGTCCACCAGCCCCGCCCTCGGGGTCCGTGTGTCCCGTTGTTTCTGCTCCAGCCTCACCCCTGCCGGCGCTCACTCCTGGGGCCTGGCTGGGGCTCTGTGGGCCCTGGGACCGTCCTCTGGTCCCGGGTGGCAGACCAGACCCCGGCGGCCTCACCAAGCATCCTACCTGCCCTCTCCCCTCTCCCAGGTGCGGGGCTGTGTCTAAGGCCATGCTGGCCAGAGTTCTGTGCAGGAACCGGGGGGACGAGGTGGCCATTCCATTGGTCTCCCGTGACCCATGCCACCCACTGACCAGGCCCCGCTCAGCCTGGGGCACGTCCGTGACTCCACGTGGAGGAGCCAACTTCTCTGGTTTATCCAGGGTGCCTTTCTGACCCATCCATTCTTCACTTGCTAAAAACATGTTTTATACAAATCCTGTAAAAACTGATCAGGAAGAAATATTAAAACAATCCCACGATTTTGTTGAACTGTGTTGTTGGAGGAGATTCCCAAGAGTCCCTTGGGCTGCAAGGAGATCCAACCAGTCCATCCTAAAGAAGATCAGTCCTGAATATTCATTGGAAGGACTGATGCTGAAGCTGAAACTCCAGTACTTTGGCCACCTGATGCAAAGAACTGACTCACTGGAAAATACCCTGATGGTGGGAAAGATTGGAGGAGAAGGGGACGACAGAGGATGAGATGTTTGGATGGCATCACCGACACAATGGACATGGGTTTGGGTGGACTCTGGGAGTTGGTGATGGACAGGGAGGCCTGGCGTGCTGCAGTCCATGGGGTCGCAGAGGCGGACACGACTGAGCGACTGGACTGAACTGAATCAAACCCTTGTGAGATGTGCGGGTGTGTGGTGAGCACAGCTTGTTTCAGCCCGGGCGCGTTTGCCGGGGTCCCTGCTCTCTGTCCTCACACCTCCCACCTCTGCTCTGTTGCAGACTAAAACCGGGGTCGCCTCGGTGCACGGCGAAGGGTCTGGCCACGCCTATGACGTCCGCCTGCAGCTGACGAAGGAGGTGCTGACAATTCAAAAACAGGATGTCATCTGTGCTAGTGGCAGCGGCCCCCGCGCAAACGTGAGTGCCTCTGCATCTGCGGGCCCAGGGCTTGTCTAGACCGTGTCACGCCGATACGCGCGAGGGGCTCCCCAGACGGAAGCTCCCGGGGAGCTGTCCGGATGTCCAATTATTGCAAAGCAAAATGTCTTTTCAAGTTTGTACTGTTTGCTCTCTCGATGGCTTTCTTAATTTTATTCATATATTTTCCTTGAGGAGCTTTATATTAAAAACATCCCCAGACAGCACACCATGAGACTGAGTGTATTCTCCTGGGAAACTAGAAAGCTGTGATGAGCAAGGTCATCTCCTTCCTGAAGGAGGAAGAACTCCAGGGTTTCTACCCGGAACCACAGGCAGCGAAAGGTACAGGAGGTGCTTTTCAGAGTCTACCTCTTCCTTGCCTCCATGGATGCAAATAGAGTTTTCACATAAAGCTTGGTCCTTCTTGCCTTCAATTATAAGTGAAATGTTCTTAATGTGTTGGATGTATTGGAATGTTGAATAAAAATTAGAGAACAATGGTTTTGCTAGTTTTATCTCTAAATTTACCTTGAGATGACTGCAAATGATATATTAAATATATAACACGTTATAGTTGAAGTTTCCTGGTTTCCTCCCAGTGGGCTTAAATGGGTAAGGATACACAGGTGCATTCTGTGTCTCTGTATATTTATAATCTATGTAGATATTACCAACATGCGTCATTACTCGTCCTCTGAATAGGCTGTCCCATTAGCTATAAAACTGATGAGCAAGAAGCCAGGTGGAGGAAAGGGTGTTCCTTCTTTGAGATTCTGGAAGTACCCCAAGGCTCTGCCATCCCCAGGTGGGCTGGCTCTTCTGGGATTGCTGGAGACGCCCTCTTTGTGGGTCTCTGAGTCCTTGTAACCTTAACCACATAGAGGACGTGGGCAGGACGCTTCCACCCGGCCTGTCCGCACTCCTGTGGTCAGCGTGCCGTCCTCAGCGCGGGAGCCCCGATGTCACCAACAGAGCTGCGACCTTGCCTCCGTGTCCTCACACGCATGTCTCCTTCTGGATGGCGTCCTCCTCCTTCTGTCCTGGAGCCCAAGGCCGCCCCCTGGTCCCGCCCCGGTTCTGGCCTCGGTCGAGGGCGTCCCCTGCACATCCAGGTTGGCGGAGCCTCACGATGAAGGCGGGAGACAGGATGCTCCCCCTGGACCCTCAGGCCTGGGTTCTGCATCCCGTCCTCTCGAGGACACCCCTCGCCCCGCCCCATGGATCCTGCAGAGCCGCCTCCTCCAGCCCTTAGAAGAGTCCCTCAGAGCCAAGAGTGCCCCTCTCCAACAGGTGGGCAGCCTCGTGCTCACCCGCACAAGGCCCATCCCTTTGCTGATTGCCTTCCACGTGCTCTCAGGACCGTGGGCGGTAGGTGGAGAGGGAGCAGGAGGGAGCAGCCAGGGTGGTTCTGTAGCCACTTAAAAGTGGCACCTTTCTTAACAGTGAATTTGTAATCAATAGAAAGTTTCAGATAAGTTATAGTAAAAACAGGTAATGTTTCTACACTATATTGTCCAGTTCAGTTCAGTCACTCAGTTGTGTTCGACTCTTTGCAACTCCATGAGCCGCAGCACGCCAGGCCTCTCTGTCCATCACCAACTCCTGGAGTCCACCCAAACCCATGTCCATCGAGCCAGTGATGCCATCCAGCCATCTCATCCTCTGTCGTCCCCTTCTCCTCCCACCTTCAGTCTTTCCCAGCGTCAGGGTCTTTTCCAGTAAGTCAGTTCTCATCAGGTGGCTAAAGTATTAGAGTTTCAGCTTCAACATCAGCCCTTCCAGTGAATATTTAGGACCAACTTCCTTTAGGATGAACTGGTTGGATCTCCCTGCAGTCCAAGGGACTCTCAAGAATCTTCTCCAGCACCACAGTTCAAAAGCATCAATTCTTCGGCACTCAGCTTTCTTTATAGTCCAACTCTCACATCCATACATGACTACTGGAAAAACCATAGCCTTGACTAGATGGACCTTTGTTGGCAAAGTAATGTCTCTGCTTTTTAATATGCTGTCTAGGTTGGTCATAACTTTCCTTCCAAGGAGCAAGCGTCTTTTAATTTCATGGCTGCAATCACCATGTGCAGTGATTTTGGAGCCTAAGGAAATAAAGTCTGACACTGTTTCCACTGTTTCCCCATCTATTTCCCATGAAGTGATCGGACCAGATGCCATGATCTTCATTTTTTGAATGTTGAGTCTTAAGCCAGCTTTTTCACTCTCCTCTTTCACTTTCATCAAGAAGCTCTTTAGTTGCTCTTCACTTTCTGCCATAAGGGTGGTATTATGTGTGTATCTGAGGTTATTGATATTTCTCCCAGCAATCTTGATTCCAGCTTGTGCTTCATCCAGCCCAGCATTTCCCATGATGTACTCTGCATATAAGTTAAGTAGCAGGGTGACAATATACAGCCTTGATGTATTCCTTTCCCAGTTTGGAACCAATCCGTTGTTCCATGTCTGGTTCTAACTGTTGCTTCTTGACGTTCATACAGATTCCTGTGTATTATCCAGGAAAAATAAATTATACTTTTTAGAATTCAGTGTCAGAGTCTCTGCCCAAGGGACTCTGTCAGAGTCTTCTTGATGGAAATTATTGGTTCCTTCATAAGAACGACAGGCGTGTGTTCGTAAATTTATGTTTACAGTTTCAAGTGATTTATTGGTGCCCAAAGCTTGATGTTGAGATTGCCTGCTTTATCTAAGAGGGTGGTTCCCGAGGGTTTGTTCTCAGTCTCCTGGGTCCATCCTTACTGAGCTCTGCTCCTTCCAGAGAAAGCCTCATTTGTAGGAAAGGAGTGAAATATTCTTGAATAGATGTGTATATCTGGGCTGGGTAATTGTGCGGGGAACTCAGAGGATGTTTTCAGACCAAGAACATGTTCAGCTCCTGAGGTCAGAATGCCTTCTCTATACTAGCCTCAGAAGCCCGTTGGGTCCAATCCCGTTGGTTGGAGAAACAGGTGAAACTCGTGTTCTTCAGTTGATCATAAAAATAAAACTAACCTTGGCCTGAGAATTTATCCTGTGTTTGAAGAATGAAAGAGACTACTTCCAACAACAGCCACAGCTGTTTCTGCAGACCGCAGCACCTCTGAGGGTGTCAGAACATGTGATTCTCTTATGTTCATATCACTGAGTGTTTCAGTGTTAACGTCCAACAGGAAACCTGAAGGAGAGCATTTATTGTCCACCATTTAAAATTCTCTGAGCTGTGGGAGAGGGAGATGTAATCATTATTCTCCAGATGATCAGCAGAAGAAATGAGTGTGAATTTCACATCTCACTGAAGCTTGAGTCCCTGTGTGGGTCCCAGGAGATGAAAAATGCATCATTGGATTCAATTAAACACACATTTACTGAATCTATGCTATCCATGACTGATGCTGAAGCTCCAATACTTTGGTCACTTGATGGGAAGAGCCAACTCATAGGAGAAGACCCTGATGCTAGGAAAGATGGAAGGCAGGAGGAGAAGGGGGTGATAGAGGATGAGATGGTTGGATGGCATCACCGACTCGATGGACATGAGCTTGAGTAAACTCCGGGAGTTGGTGATGGACAGGGAGACCTGGCGTGCTGCGGTCCCCGGGGCTGTACAGAGTCAGACACGGCTGAGCAACTGAATAGCCACACCCATGTAATGTCAGGCAGAGGTCAGCTTGGCGCCGGGGCCCCAAGGCCTGTTAGAACCTAAGAGCACACACCACGTGCATGCGAGGCTGGCTCACACTGGCGCTTTGATTTCAAGGTCAGCTTTCTCAAGAGAAAATAAGGCTGCTGACTGATCCTTATACCTCGAGCTCTATTGTCAGTGGGAGGCTCCCCCTCATTTCACAACCAACAGGCTCTGCGCCCCAGCACTTGCTCACAAGCTGAGACTGGAGGGAACCTGGCTCTCTCGGACCGTGACCCAGTTTGCCCTCAGCTGTACACCTTGGGCTGCACTTAGACTCTTCATTGTCTTTTTGAGAAGACAGGATTAAGGGGTAGACTTGCATTAGTATTCATGAAACTGCGGAAAAAATAAGCACTGTATCAGTTCTGGGTGGATGTTTTTATCAGGAAAGAGGGAGAGAACACTGAGTTTACCCTTTAATAAAACCCATAGATTCTCAAATCTGCTGATTCAACATCAGAGTCTAGAATTGGCGACTTTATATTTCATTTGTATTCCGTCTCTTCCAATCGACACGGCACTCTGAATACGTCAAATCTCTGGGTTTTCTAATTATCTCCTAAAGAAAGAATGTGCTTCGCCATATGAAGAAGCTGGCTTGTTATGTTTCAGACTTTCTGTTTAGATTGCTTCATTTTTATGATTGTATGTGTACATTTGACATATTCTATTTTTCTAAATTGTAAGGTTACATTTGTAGCTTGAATGAATGTAGTTATGGAATAAAAAGTAGTGACAGGAAGAAAGAATTTAAAAGATCTCTGTGTTGTATCTGGCACTTTTAGTCATAGCACATTTATGGCTGACATGTATTTTAGAGAATTCCATACCCTCAGTTTGGTAAATTAAGAAACAGCGGATGCTGGTCTGAGCTCACAGGGTTAATTACAGGGTTGAGGCAACACGCAGCTGCTCCTCTCCTGCCTGAGGGTCTAGGTGCTGCCTGTAACTTCTCAAGGTCGCCCAGAGCATCGACAGGAGAGAAGGGCCAGCGGCAGTAGACACCAGCGATTCTGGCGACAGTTCAGTGTGAGTCCAGCCAGGGACCAGCCACTGGACTGGTGTTTGTGAGCTGGGCAACGCGGGGAAAGCGGACCTCAGGAGGAGGCCCGGAGCTGAGCCAGAAGAAAGGACAGACCGTGGTCCCCCCACCCGGAGGGAGGAAGTCCTAAGTCACACGTGGAGAGTGTGAACATGGAGACAGGGCCCCCCGCAGAAAGAGTTCTTGCCCGACCGGCTCTGGCTTCTGCAGGAAGAGGGACAAAGCCGGCAAAGACCCCGAGGACACTAATCCCGGGCTGCTCACTCGGGTCTCGCGCTTTGGTTTACGCTTCCCGTGTGGCGTGAAAATCCTCCTGCTGAAAATGCAAGTGTAGGTGGTGTCAGGTTCAGGGGCCCTGGTGCACGCAGACGGAAGGTGCAGGCCTTCGGCAGGAATACGCACTCTTTCCACCAGGGCCTGAGAGGATTCCCAGTGCAGGTTTGCAGGGACTGTGGAGATAAATCCAGGGAAGAAAGCCACCGTGAGCAGAAGTGCAGAGATGGGTCTGCAGAGACATCGAGCTGTGAGAGTCAAGTGCATCACGTGAAAGGCATGTGTTCATTGTGTGACCTCGGCGACCGACTCACGCAGAGCTCTCCCTGCTCCTGGCCCTCAGCACTGTGCATTCGCTTATTTGATGTGTGTGGACTCAATGCAGAGTCTACTTCTCTTCGACAAGGATGGTCCAGCTTTGAAAACATGAAAACCTTGAAATAGTGAATGCAGTGCCTGCTCAGTGGTGTCTGACTCTTGCAACCCCATGGGGTGAGCCCGCCAGCCTCCTCTGTCCACGGGATTCTCCAGGCAAGAATCCTGCAGTACGTTGCCATTTCCTCCTCCAGGGGATCTTCCTGACTCGGGTTGAACCCGCGTCTCCTGCGTTGCAGGCAGGTTCTTTCCCACTGAGCCACTGGGAAGCCCACAAAAGAGTGAATAGACGGGCCAGATTCATCGTAAAAGTCTGCACTGTGATTTAGTTTAAGGATGGAATCATGGTTCATGTGTGTGTGTGAGTGTGCACACAAGCCACTTGGTAAGGAAATAAGACATAAAAAATTGTCTTTCAGTGAAGCTTGAAATAACTAGAATCATAATAGCAAAGTATTTTGCATAGTCTACTAAACATTTTATAATATTTTCCTTTAATTATGTAATTTTTTCAACATATGAAAAGTTGAAAAGTAGCAAGCAGAACCCCATGTAATTATCCTCCATATTGGCCATATGCCAGCATATTTGCTGTGAATCTATCCAATTTTTACAGAAATTATCAAAGCAATGCACATCCTTTTTATTATTCCCATTGTTACTTTTGGAGGTGAACACGCTTCCTACACCACTTCATCAATCCCAGGCAAATCCTGTTCACTGACAGATCATTTAGACCAAACGAACACACCTTACATGTTTGAACACATGAGAGGTGGCATGACCACCCCGTCAGCCACGGGGCAGGGTTAGTCTTGCCTTCAAGTTGTCAGCACTGGCAACTTTAAACTAGGTCAGGACGAGAAATGATTGATCATTCACAAGTTAGCATCGACTGTGTAATGACTGATCTAAAAACGGTGAACTGTGCATAGCAGCACGGTGTGCAGGCAGCCACTTTGGGGGTCAGTGGAGACGAGACTTTAGAAACAGGGAGCTGAGCATGTGCTCTGTAGCCTCCCCATCTGCTGCCTGGTAACGGGGCCTCCATCCCTCAGAGCCAGAATGGGGTGAGATGACCAACTTTGCAGGACCTCGGGGTGGATCTTAAACCAGCACAGTGCGGCTGTTTCTTACCAGGCTGTCTGTTTCCCTGTAGCACTGCTGAGTGCAGGTTTGAAATGGTGCCGTCGCAGTAGTGATTAGCCAGCTCCCCTTTGGAAATATAAACAGCTACTGACGTTTTTTAAATTTTCTTTTATTTTTAAGTTGAAAGACAATTGCTTTACAGAATTGTGTTGGTTTCTGCCAAGCATCAGCATGAATCATCCATAGGTATACATATGTCCCCGATATGTCTGAAATTTTAATAAAGAAGTTATGTATACATTTTGCATTCGCTTTCTGATTGTCCATTTTAACCAAACCAGGTTTGTTTTCTAAATTTTTTAAAGCACAGAACTGTTACGCTTCGCAGACAGCCCGTGGGAGGCCTGGGCCTGAGCATAAAGGTATGAATGTGTTCCTTCCCCTGACACTTTCCCGTGACGGCCCCCACTCTGTCGTCACTGAGCCCCTCTGCCTGTCTTCCAGGGCGGCGTGGAACACGGCGTCCCTGTGGTCATATCGAAGATATTCAGGGACCTCGCAGGTACCAGCAGCTGCATGACCGTGTGTGCATGGCCGCAGTCTGGAGTATGGTGCGCTGTTTTAGATGGGGAGACAGCTGCTGTGTGTGTTGCCTGGCCATTCGCCTGCCGTCTTATCTCACAGCTGTCTGCGCCCTCATCCCCGATCCCGCCAGCCCTTAAGACAGATACTGACCCACAGTGTGGCGTCACGTTGACCCCAGGAGACACGGACATGGCAGTGGTTTGAACTTTGGTTTCTCAGGAAAGACAAACCTCTTGGGGGGGGGGGGNACCTCTTGGGGGGGGGGGGTGTGCAGCGGATGGAGGGTCAGCGTGAGGAGGTTCTGGTGTAAAATCGCGTCACGGCCAAGGGGCCAGGCAGGGAGGCCGCTGGCCGTGGTGCTGAAGCGGTGATGATGGCTTTGGCAAGAGCTGCCTCTCCCGGGAGGTCAGAGTGTGTAGGGCTGAGCGTGAGGGCGAGTGAGCACTGGGCAGGTGGCTTTCCATCAAAGTGCATATTTTCCTGAAGAACTCTCTTCAGTGGCACTTTCGAATCCAGCTCTTACAGGCTCCTCCACTCCCCGGGGCCACCCATCTGCCCTCTTCCATCAGGTCCTTCCTGCAGGTCCAGGAGATGATCCCTCCTGACTCAGGCAGACGGACACCTGGCACTGAACGTGAAGCCTGTGTTGTCGAGGGGCAGCCTGAGTGTTGAAGGGGATGAGTCTGGTCGAGGGCCAGGGTGTTGACAGGTCCTGGGTGAGATGCCTGGACTCCTGGGCTGGGGGAACAAGCCCTGCTTTCCCCCAGGATGCTCAGACCTGGTCCACATCCTGCAGGGGACCAGCCAGCATAGCCTGGTGACCTCGGGCCTCATGCTGCCAGAGGTCTCACGGTCATTTTTGCTGCAGGGACTGTTCACAGTGAGGTGAAGCCCCCATCGTGGCTTTGACTTCAGTCGTGGGGAAAAGAGGTTTTAACAAGACGTGCATTCTGCGTAATTTTGTACCAACAGGACACTCAGGATGCAGCTTGACTGCACAGTTTCCCCTCCTTCCAGCAAAGTCACAAAGCCCGCCCTTAATGTCTGCAGCAGGCAGATCGCACTTCTTGGGCACTAAGGGTCTTGAGCCCATAAAGCTGCCTGCCCTCTGCAGGGGACGGTTTTCCTGGATAGCCCCCAGCTGTTGTTAGGAGGGAAAACAAGAGCCTGGTCTTCCTATGCTGCTGTTCTTGGCGACAGAAAAGGATTCCAGTCTTATCAGGAAATATGGTTTTAATTATAACCACGAGGACACAGGTCCCTGAGCCAAATGGCCATTCTTTTTGGAGGTTTTCAAAGCACTTCAAAGAAGCACATACTTCTGTTGGACTGACGTCTTTTTGTTGTATAAAGCAAGTGCTGCGCTGTGTGATTGAAGAGCCTGATGGGCTCAGTGGTCCCTGTGTTTAGAGCGAGGGTCTGCAGGGAGAATGAATCAAGTTGTTGCTGAAGTCGGAGTGTATAATCATTTCTGTGTGACCATAACCATCTGGCTGGCTGATTAATGATTGAGAGAAGGATTGCTCAAATCTGCTTGTGAACATTCTTAGTTCTTTTTCACAAGTAAATTTTTAAATTTGTGGGTGTGAGTATGTTTCAGAAAAGGATGAGAACAGGGGAATGAAAAGTTGTTGAAACTTTTCACAAGGAGTGAAAGACACTGGGATTTTTGGCTTCTGGAGGAGAGGAATTCAATCCGGGGCCAGGGACGAGGCCTGATCGGTCAGAGCCTTTGCGTGATAAAGGTAGAAAAGAGAGAGAGAAAGCTTCTGACACAGACATCAGAAGGGACAGGAAGAGTGCCCCTCTGCTCGTCTTTAGCTGGATGTTATACAGCTACCAGCAGGCTGCTAATTAGAAAAAGGAGATGTCTCAAAACTCAGAGCCGTCACAACTTGAAGAAACAGAGTCTAGGGTAAATACACAGTTCATTAACATAGCTTACAACAAACATTTTTGTAAGAAAAATGCTCTGGTTAGCTCAAGGTTTGAGAAAAGTTCGGTTCAGGTGGAGCCAGGTGTCATGGCAGCACAGAATTTTAAGAGAAACCTCCTTTTAATTTTATATAGAGAAGGGGAAAAAAAACCTAACACTTGTAATTTGTTCCTCCTGCCGCTTAAGAGAGAGATAAACATGTCTGCCACATGTGGCCTATTTCCTCCGTTTGGAGACCCCTGGCCTTGCTGCCTGTTACCCTCTCAGGAATAAGATTAAAATCAGAAAAAGACTGCTCAGCTCAGGAAGAGCATCTCCCTTCTCTACGGAGGTGTGTACAGGCCGAAGCGGCCTGCTGGGTGACATGACAGCATCACCTCCCCGTGTCTGCGGGCCCCCCGGGTCCGGTCCCCTAGGCAGGGCCCACTTGTGCAGACAAGACTCTCCCGGAAAGGAGGCTCCGCTCTGCAGCTCCAGGAAGCGTCGCGAGCATCTCAGACCCAGCGAGTTCTCAACCAGGTCCTCCCTGCCTGCCGCACCTCCAGGCCCTGCATCCCGCACGCCCGGGCCTCCTCTCCTTCCCACCTCCTGCCCGGGCCAGGCTGGGGAGCAGCCCCGCCCACCCCAGGGCGCCCCTTCAGCTGCTGTGACCGTCCTGCCCACGCCCTCCTCTCTTTCCTGTGGGTGCTCCACACCCTGCATCCCGAATCGAATGCTCGGTGAGCTGAGTCTTGGGCCCGGGATGGTCTCACCAAGTTCACGTGTTTAGGCTTTGGCTCAGGACACGTGTGTCTCGCAGGCCAGGGGGACCCTGGGCCGCGCTGCCGCATGTGTTGATGTCAGGAAGGTCCTTAGTGTGCAGGAGCCCAGGGTCTGGGGCGGGGCCGGGGGGGGGGGGGAGACCGTCAGGGGAGGGG